GACTGCGAGATGCGGTTGGCATGGTCATCGAGACCGATGTGACGGAGCATCATGGCAGCGGACAGGATCAGAGCAGTGGGGTTGGCCTGGTCCTTGCCCTTGATGTCGAGACCGACGTGACGGCATCCAGGCTCGAAAAGGGCGACGTTGCGGCCCATGTTGCAACCGGGGACGATACCAGGGCCACCAACAAGACCGGCACCGATGTTGGACAGGATACCTCCGTACAAGTTGGGCATGACCATGACATCGAATTGCTGTGGCCTTGAGACACACTGCATGGAAGCGTTGTCGACGATCATGTCGTTGGTCTCGAGAGTGGGGTAGTCCTCACCAACCCTCTTGACGGTGTTGCGGAAAAGACCATCGGCAAGCTTCATGATGTTGGCCTTGTGGATGCAGGTAACCTTCTTGCGGTTGTTGGCGAGCGCAAAGGCGAAAGCAAACTTGGCGATGCGCTCCGATTTCTCACGGGTGATGATCTTGAGCGACTCAACGACGCCGTTGACCGACTGGTGCTCGAGACCAGAGTATTCACCCTCGGTGTTCTCACGGATGATGCAGAAGTCGATGTCCTTGTGGCGTGTCTCGTAACCAGGGATGTTCTTGAGGAGGACGATGGAAGCGTAGATGTCGAGCTCTTGACGGAGGGCAACGTTGAAGGAACGGTGGCCGGATCGCTCGACGGGAGTATGAAGGATACCCTTGAGACCGAGCTTGTTGCGCTTGAGCGAAGCAATAGATTCGCGGAGGAGCTCCTCGGAGTGGACGTTGCCGGAGTCGACACCAGATACGTCGACCTGCTCCCACTCAATGGGAACGTTGTCCGCCTTGAAGATCTCCTTGACCGACTCGGAGACCTCAGCACCGATACCATCACCTGCGCATGTTCAGAATCTATATCGGTTTTATGGGCGGTTATCGCGCATACCAGGAATCAAGGTAACGGTGTATTTGCCGCCGAACTTGGTGGGCTTAAAGATGTCCTGAGTGACCGTGGCCATTGCTGTCGCCCAGTTAGACTCTCCATTACTCGGGATATTTTACGCAGTGTTCGTACATCGTGTAGCCATGGCGGGTGCCCATCGAGAGGCAGGCTTCGCGCCCCGCAGGAGCGTCTGTACAGGCGCATTAGCACTTCAATTTCCGCCATAACCGCCAATTGCAAGCGCATAGACATGTCCGTACCTGCGCTGTTCTTTGAGAGGTCCTCGACAACATGGTGGAGTTGCGGCGTTGGGCTGGTGGTGAGGGATTTGAGGTAGAGAGAAACCAGCTGGAGCTGCCGTCCCCCGAAAATGCATCCGAACCGAAGGAAGAAACCGCGCTTGGCAAATGACCGCATCCGTCCTTCCGCCGCGGCTCGCTTTCTCTATTACCTCCGGCGCAGCGCTATTCATCCCTTTCACTCGTCCTGGTACTTGTTTTTTTCGTTCTCGCCCTTATTCTATTCCGGCCTGTTCTTCGATTCTCTGCAACCCCCGAACCCTTTCTCTGCAGTCCACTACGGCTGCATTTGCATGTGATAATATGGGCTACGGATCGCATAGCATATGAGTGTTTCATCCCGTGACAGATTTCAGTTGATAAGCAGTTACTACGACGAACTGCTCTTAGGATCTGGAGCCCTCTTCCAAACATATTGAATTTGTTGTTCGGGCTGAGAGATGTACCAAGCGCTCTGTTCCCCATAGCGCACAATGGCCTCGTCAAGTTACTTTCCCTCATAGATTCTGCCAGACATTCTTGTTATGTCATGCTATGTGATGAGATGATCAGAAAAAATCGATCGTTTACAGGCAGCCAGTAGGGGCTGCGTTTCTGGTACCTCAAAACACCAACAATGGTGAACGTCGAAAGAGCAAGAAGAATTGGTCATGTCGAGCTACAGCAACCACTGTGATCTTGAAGCTTGTTAAAGCATGCTGCCCCATTGAGCCGCACATTTTTGAAGCATTCCGGGGCATTTCCCACTACGATGGAAGGATGGTACTGCATACAACAACTAACATATACAGCTGAACTCTGAGTAACGTTCAAGTGACTCTTACTTGAGCCTTTGCGGGTCTGGCGATCGCTGGCATCACGGCGTTCCACCAGCACATGTCGCGCATCAGGCTAGCTTCACCTTCACCTCACTGCTCATCTGTTTTTGTTAGGCCTTCTAGCCTATGAGGCCGTCTCTCCTCCATTTGGACCTTTTCTCCTGGCCACCACACCCACTCTTCTGTCGCTCGACACTACGTCAAGCCCCCTTCGCTACAACTGTCTGTCCATGGTAGCCCTACCCGGACATATACCAAGACCAAAGATTTGAAGCCTAATCAGTCAGTGTCAGAAGCGCCCTCACGCCGGCATCGTCTCACCTTTGGTCCTGGCCCCAGTGCACTCGAGAAGCTTCTTTGGTCCTCGGCAGCCTAGTCTTTAGCCTATACAACTTCTTCTATTCATTCCGTAACTCTACTACTGTCACAGCTTCCCCGTTACCCGCTCCCGTTGTTTTTGAACCTCAAACCTCGGCTTGGTATTAGGCCTCGTAAGGAGAGAGCTGTGCAATCGCCCCCGAACACGCCTTAGTCACTTTCAATCTTCGCATCACAACAAAGCTTCTCGATATGAAGGTCATTGAGAAGGACAGCGATAGGAAGGCCCGGGTCAACATTTACACCGAGGGCGAAGTTTCGGCGCTGAAAGAGTATGGTGAATATATCGATCGAACAGACAAAGCGATATGTTGCTATATACCACTTGATGAGGGCCATAAGCCTCGCATCGGAGGCCGGTTCTGGGGCACGGTAAATTCTACTTATACAAACTCGACAAAATCATCTAACTAATTCTCAGACTCTCGCTGTGGCCTACGATACTATTGTGGATGGAGTACTCCGCAAGGCCAGTTCGTATGCGGCCAAGGCGGTAAGCCATCAGCACAACAAGAAGATCGACACAGAGAGGTTTCTATACAAGACTACAAAAGGAATCATCGATACCGACATCACGGTGGCTCCAATTGTGGGTGTTACCACGATACAAGGCGATGCGCCTGAGACTATCGGGACCATTGAACTACGTCTTTACGTTACCCGACAACTGGGAGTTTCGCATGATATTGGTGAAGTAAAGAAGTACTACAGCGTTGGAGGCAACACCGAGGATGGAGAAGTCCATGATACCGAGCAGAGAGTAAGCTATAAGCTCATACCTCCGGCTTTCAGAATGTCGTTCGAGAAGAACAGTGCTCTTCTGGGGGAGAGGCAGCCGAGCCTTCACCGGCGCAGGGCAGATGCGAAGCGTCCAGGAACAGAGCCCTGGGCGATCTTTCGTTTCCATTATCGAACTGAAGGTGAGCTGGTCAAGCACCATTTTAAGTATGGTGCTGACACTGTTCTTCAGAAGACATTATGAAGCGAAACCTGGTTATGACGTATGATCCTGACAGCAAAGAGAAGACGGAACCGCGTATTCTATTGCTAGATCCCGCAACCCCTCTGCGATTAGGTGAAAAGCCGCTTAAGAACGACGGAGATGCTTCGTCTCGATCATCATCCCCAATGCCTCCTGGTACACCTTCTACTCCAGTAAAAGGCGTACAGCCAGTTTCTGAAGTAAGAGAAAGACTCGCTGGAACTTACCTCTCCTCACTACCTCATATCTACTTCACCTTGACTTCTGACTCGGCCCAATCTCTACCTACTTCTAACACATACTTTTAGATCTCCATCCCCACCAATAAGAAGCCTGGACTCAAATCAAAGTCAATCGAAACTACGAAGATGGTTTCTCCTACAGACCAAGCAACTGCTACTCTCTTAGCGAAGTCTACCACCACAGAAGAAAGGAAGATACCCACCAGCGGGGATATTGATAGCGTCATCTCTACCTCCACTGCCAATAGCGGTAGTGATGGTTTTGCCGACAATGTCGTTGATACATCTTCTGAGCCGGTAGCTGACAATACCACCAAAGTACCCAGCCTCCCAGATCTCAAGACCAAACCCACAGGTGTACACTCAGAGACATCCGCAATCGCAGCCAGAGCGACGGTCACAAAGCTTCCGCAGTCGCCTGTTACTCCAGCCAAGAAACCAATCGCAAAGCCAGCGCTTATCAGCACCGCCACTGTCAATGATCAGAAGAAACAAGATAGACCTCCCAGCGTAGCTGTACCGGTCAAGCGTCATTCCCCCACTACAAACGGCGCAACACCCGAGCCGAAGCGTACGAAGGTCACCTCAACGTCACTTTCGCCTCCTGCCCAGCCTACAGTCCCACGAATTCTCCCACGATCATCTACACCGAAGACCATTTCGATCGAGCACCAGCTTGCGGACCAGCGTAAGAAGCTCCAGGAAATGCGCAAGAAGCGTGTAGAAATCGCCAAGAAGCAGGCTGGAATCGACGAGCAAATGAGTCCGTATAAGCAACGTATGGCCGAGGAGCTGGACCGTCTCAGCCGAGAGATGATGGAGGAGGAGAGCGCATATACTGAGGAGGCAGAACACTACAGTGTTAGTGTCGAAATTCTCCGGGAGTTCAAGAGGACGGATGGTGGCCGGTAGGTTGTTAGTGGGGCTTGTGAGAAAAGCGTCAAAAGTGTGTTGGAAGGAGTATGGCGTTGACGTGGGATAATGAGGCCTGGAGTGATTTGGAGTTTTTGAGGTTTTAGAGGAGTCGATCAAATTTTGGCTGGGCAAATACCAGGGTATTGAGTTCCCGGATGGAAGGATAATTGCTCAGTCGGGCAACTACCGAGAGGCCACGAGATGGAAAAACTGCTTATGGATTCCCATTATTTACGTAACTAGTAACCAATATGAGGTACTGATGAGGATAGTTTGATACAAGATTATCAAACTATGCAACGGCTAGTTTTCTTTATTGACCTGGCGTTCGCTCTCTGGCTACCCTCATGTTTGCCTTAATCCGTTCCAGTAGCTCAGCGGTTGTTGCAAGTGGAGAGGGGTGTAAATTTCTCTGCTGTAGTATTAGCATAAAGTTGCTCAACCGACAGCACCTATCATCAGCGAAATGCCATGGTATGTTGACAGTAGCCAGGGCTAAAATACGTCTTGTTGTATCTTTTTGCGATAAGAAAACTTACGTGCTTGAGCCAGGTAATGCATTGATCGTGAGTCCATGTTTCTGGGTCTAAGATGGCGTCAGTAAGGTTTGACCGACAGAAATTCTAGGGAGCATAGATTAGCATACCGCCAGTGGGGTCTTGACTAGGAAAGATGTCTTGTCCCCAGATACTCCATGCTGCAACGCCAGCAACGACTGCAGCGAAAGCGAAGAAAGGGCCCTATCTTGTATTAACTTATGATGACAGCGATATGTAGAAGGCCCACTATGTAGAGCAGATGCCATGATAGCCATGAGTAACCTACACGTTGTTGCACTGCGCGATCGATGGGAGTCGGCATGCTGAAGAATGGAGCTGGTTGGACAAGCAGTGTGAAAGACGGATGTAGAACTTAGAGATCTTGTCGGAGTACGCAAGGAGACGAGGAAACTATTCAATGATTCGACAAGAATTGCAGCAGTTATAGGATGGCAGGCAGCACTGTTTTCACATGCGACGCTTCCTCATTGCACTCCTTCCTGGTTTACGCCACGCACGTCGTCACCCCACCAAGCCCGAAGCAGCAACGCTTGCGGGCAGCCCCATTGCAGCCCGTGCGTTTCAAGCGAGTTCCAGTCCACACCCAACGCCTGGGCACTGGCCAAATTGTTTCCGAACTTCACGATCCGAACCAAAACGACCCGTCAACACACAAATCGTCAAGATGCCTTCCGAAGTTTCCGACATCAAGCAGTTCATCGAGATCTGCAGGCGCAAGGATGCCAGCTGTACGTCTACCACTTTTGCTAGGAGGAGGTTGCGGTCGTAGTAGGAGGAGGAATTGTGCACGATAAAAGGGAGATGCAGAAGGCTGCGACGATCGAGGCAGTTAAATGTGATGAGAAATCTAAGCTGACAGCATTGCAGCCGCCCGCATAAAGAAGAACAAGAAGGTCAACAACATCAAGTTCAAGGTCCGATGCTCCACCAACGTCTACACCCTCGTCCTTAAGGACACCGACAAGGCCGAGAAGCTCAAGCAGAGTCTGCCCCCGGGTACGCATGCAATACCAATACTCTAGCGCCTATGACACGAATCTAATAACTTCAGGTCTTACCATCACCGACGTCGGCAAGAAGAACCCCAAGGGCAAGCGCACCGCATAAACGGATCGAACGCATGAGGAACTGAGGACGGAAGTGTGCAAGGACATCGACGCACAATGCGCACGAAGCACGAAGGCATGGGCGGACGGCGTCTCAACGGATAAATTTTGTTCAATGGCATCACGGAACCCTTCAGATTGGGTTACCACCAGGAATGAAAAAAGTTCAAACTTCATTCCGAACATCACGGCCTGTTTCCGACGTGCACCGAGACTTGTCATGTATCATGGTCAACATTGCTGAATAGCTAGCTAGAGAGTCGCTACGGATATGGCTACTAATACAGCGATTGCTTCGGCTTTTGTCCTTGCTTCACATTGAATTTGTACTGATCTTTGCGGTCCAGATACACGACCTTGCTATCCAACCCAGCCGCATGTACCGCCTTTTTGAAATCATCCAGAGGACTCATGAATACATCGTAATCATCGTAGTGGATCGGAATCGTTAGGTCGGGGTTGATGAGCTGCATCAGCTGTACACCCTGTTCGGCATCCATAGTGACCATCAGCAATGGCATCTTGGGACCAGGAATGGTGGTGCCTCCCAGGTGGATCAGCATCAGGTCGATGTTCTGGTCCTTGTACCGCTCAGGGATCTCCTTGAGCTCATCAACCATCAGAGTGTCGCCGGAGATGTAGATTCTGTATCCATTTTCGAAATCGCTTCCATCGCTAGAAGAAGCGTTCGAGTACCCGAGTTCGACCATCCAGCCATTTGTCGGCGGCACAGCGCCAAGAATGTCGTTCGCAACGTTCAGAGGACCGGGAGGCACATGCTTTCCTGGCATGCCTGTGACTTTGATGCTGGGCTTTGGACCGCTACCATTTGTTTGGTCTGATTGCGATACATCCAAAAGCAAACTGTTCCAGAAGTCGAGTGCATGCACGTTCTTGAATGACTCTTCGCCTTTGCCTGTCAAGCATTCCTTGGCATGTGGTGTGGTGATGATTGGGAGGCCCTTTGACAGTTTCTCCTCCACTTCCCGGTCGAAGTGATCCTCGTGGTAATGCGACAGCAAAATCACGTCGATCCTCGGTAGTTCTTCCAAATCGATTGCGGGGTTTGTCCGTCTTGTCGCACTGACGCCTGGTCCTAGATGAACATGGTCGCCAGCATGAAGGAAGTTGGGATCTGTGAGAATGCGAATGCCTTCCCACTCCAGGATTGTGGTGGCAGTCCCAACGAAGAAGAGAGAAGCATTTGTTGAGGCGTCTGGTGCGTTTTGAGGATGAATCTTGGTCTCTTTGGCGTCAGGTAAAGAGGTAGGGACGTCGGTGTTGAGTTTTGTAGGTGGGCCTGAGCCATCTGGTGTGATCTGGATGCGCTTCATACTTGCACCTGACATTGTGGTTTGTTGGGTGAGATGATTGCTGTAGAGGGAGTTTCGTTTCGTTTCGTCTTCCTTTTCGACTGAGATTCTTTGAATTGTGATTTTGCTATCTTAGGAGTATCCGGCTTCTTTACCGCAGGTGATGAGGTGCGAGCAAGCCGGAAACAATGATATAATGGCAGACAGGAAAAGAGGGCAAAGAATAGGAAGCGCGCTTCATCCTTGGTGTAGAAAGCCATCACGTAACTCGCAAACAACAATGACGACAAGACGCGGTAATCATAGAAATACGGCAGGGTATGCGATGATCGTGGGAACAACCTGTCCAAATGCTTCTTGACTGTTAATAAGCATAGGGATGCGGAAGGCGGCTGTGACTGTGCCCGTGTCCGTGCCTAAATACGCGTATTTCACCCATACTACAGGGAGAGCGATGCTTGCGAGTCGCAGAGGCTGAGGTGTGAAGGTGGAGCTTCCCCGTTGAACTCCGCTGTGGCTGATGTTCCCTAAGATGCGGAACCCCTGTCACGCCAAGCCATATGCATCGGGGTGAGCAATGAACACCTGGCGAGTCAGAAGGCGCTTTGAGCATTGCTTCCCGAGTCCATTGGGAATTTGGAGCAAAATGTCAAGTTACCAGACTTTGCAAGGGTGAACTTACACTCGCTCCGCTTGGTCTATTATTCAACTAGCACTACGCGTCGCGCCGCCTCATGAACTCGACACGCGATCCATTCAACCTCCGCAGCAAAGCAACGTTCAAGACACCCTCCGCATTCGCCGTCCTCCAGAACGCCGCCAACAAGAAAGCTTTACAGGCCGTCGAATCGACCAAGCAGGCGGTCGAGGCCACGAAGCAGGCGATCCAGGACTCAGATATGTCCTTCGCCATCCCGCGCAACGTACCCAACTTCGAGAGCGCGCAACGCAAGTTTGAAGATAATGTTTGGAACAAGTTACCAGGAAACGAGAAGGGCTTGCCAATGTATAAGGATAAGCCTTCGGGAAAGGTATACGGATATGGCGGTGGTGCGAGGGGAAGGAGAGGCTTCCTGAGGAGTAAGAGGGGGATGTCATTGATAGCATTAGTAGTGCTAGGGCTCTTCTACTGGTTTGGGTGGTCAAGTGGAGGGACAAATGTGGGCATAATACAAGATGAAAAGGACAAGGGGAAGAGCTTACTTTCAAACATGGGCGGAAGCGCTGCCGGAAAGAAGAGCAAAGTTGACTGGGAGAAGCGGAGACAAGCAGTAAAGGACGCCTTCTTATTGAGCTGGAACGCATACGAGGAGCACGGTTGGGGTTACGACGAGTACCACCCTGTTTCGAAGAAGGGTCGATACATGGCGGAGCCTAATGGCTTGGGCTGGATCATCGTTGACGCCCTCGATACGCTTATGATCATGAACCTTACAAAGGAAGTCAACCATGCGCGGCAATGGATTGCGACGAGTCTCGATTACGACAAGAAGCAGGATGTCAATACCTTCGAAACAACTATACGCATGCTTGGTGGTCTACTGTCCGCACACTACTTGCAAGAGACACTTCCGGGTCTGAAGCCAGAGAATCAAAATGAGGAGGACCTCTTCTTGGAGAAAGCAACCGACTTGGCAGACCGTCTCATGGGCGCGTACGAGTCCCCTTCGGGTGTTCCGTGGGCCAGTGTCATTCTCAGAGATGCCAAAGGCGAAGCCTCGCACGCCGACGGTGGTGCGTCCTCCACAGCCGAAGCGACAACCCTTCAACTTGAGATGAAATACCTAGCCTTCATCACCGGTGAAAAACACTACTGGGATGTGGCAGAGAAAGTCATGCAAGTCGTTGACAACAACGGCGCGAAAGACGGTCTTCTACCCATCTTCATCTATGCAGATAGGGGTACCTTCCGCGGTAACGAGATCCGATGGGGTAGTCGTGGAGACAGTTACTACGAATATCTCATCAAACAGTACCTCCAGACCCAGAAGCAGGAACCAATTTACCAAGAGATGTGGAACGAGTCACTTAATGGCGCGAAGAAGCATCTTCTCACTTATACGAAAGATAGCCACTTCACTGTCTTAGGAGAGCGACCAAACGGAATCGAAGGGAAGTTGCACCCCAAGATGGACCACCTTGTCTGTTTTCTGCCTGGCACCATTGCCCTGGCAGCAACTGGTGGTGCCTCTCTCGCCGATGCACGCAAACTGCCCACCTGGGGCAAAGCACAAGAGGAAGATATTACTCTTGCCCGCGAACTCACAAAGACCTGCATGGGCATGTACAAAGTAACTGCTACAGGTCTCGCCCCTGAGATCGCCTACTTTGAGCTAGACGACCCGCCAAAGATGTACCGCACTGAGATTCTAGCATCCAAGTCTGAGCTCGACACTAGTGTTCCCGATGGTGAAGGCTGGAAGAGCGATTTCGACCTCAAGCCAGCAGATACACATAACCTCCAGCGACCTGAGACTGTAGAGTCTCTGCTATACATGTGGCGCATAACAGGCGACGAAATCTACCGCGAATGGGGTTGGGACATGTTCGAAGCTTTTGTCAAGCACACTATCGTTGAGGACAATGGCGGTTTCTCTAGCATAGGCGATGTCACAAAGATACCTCCTCCATCACGGGACAACATGGAGAGTTTCTGGCTTGTAAGTTCTTCTCCTTTCCATTTCTCTAACCTTACATGTTAGAATTACTGGACTGTTTACTGACATACAACGTAGGCCGAAACACTAAAGTACATGTACCTCCTCTTCTCTCCCAACGACCTCCTTCCTCTCGATCAGATCGTCCTAAACACCGAGGCCCATCCTTTCCCTCGCTTCGACGCAAGCCACAAGCGGTTCAAGACGGGTTGGGAACGTATACCA